CCTGGAGCACCAGAACACACACACCTGGTTACCTGCTTGCTCCTGGAGCACCAGAACACACACACCTGGTTACCTGCTTGCTCCTGGAGCACCAGAACACACACCTGGTTACCTGCTTGCTCCTGGAGCACCAGAACACACACACCTGGTTACCTGCTTATTCCTGGAGCACCAGAACACACACACCTGGTTACCTGCTTACTCCTGGAGCACCAGAACACACACACCTGGTTACCTGCTTACTCCTGGAGCACCAGAACACACACACCTGGTTACCTGCTTACTCCTGGAGCACCAGAACACACACACCTGGTTACCTGCTTATTCCTGGAGCACCAGAACACACACACCTGGTTACCTGGTTACTCCTGGAGCACCAGAACACACACCTGGTTACCTGCTTATTCCTGAAGCACCAGAACACACACACCTGGTTACCTGCTTACTCCTGGAGCACCAGAACACACACACCTGGTTACCTGCTTACTCCTGGAGCACCAGAACACACACACCTGGTTACCTGCTTATTCCTGGAGCACCAGAACACACACACCTGGTTACCTGCTTACTCCTGGAGCACCAGAACACACACACCTGGTTACCTGCTTGCTCCTGGAGCACCAGAACACACTCCAGGGAACACATTGTAAAAATATTGTAGAAAAAGTCATAATTAAAAATCTAGTAATATTATAAGATATTCTCCTTGATTATTTCTGTGTTTCATGAAATGAAAGTGTGTTTACCTTTCAGAGGAATGCTGATCCCGTGCTCCGTGATCTGAAAACAAAAAGGTTCAAACTTGAGCATCTTATTCATCATGTATATTTAATATGCTTCATCCAATACACATAGTAAAGCCCACCATCAGCTCCCCGTTAGCGCCAGCGTTCATGAGGCCAGCGTGCAGCGAGGAGAAGCGCAGCTGCATGAAGGACGGAGGAGACGCTCCAAACTCCAACGCTGCTCTGAGAGCCTGAACGCAGCACGAGGGATATCAGGACCACAACAGTCATAATAACGACAACAAAAATAAATACAAATATTGAGAAGCAGTTTCTATCTACCTGTTTCTGTGACTGTTTCCTCTGAACTGCTTCCTCCTCTTCCTCCTCCTCCTCCTCCTCCTCTTCCTCACTGGACAGCACGACTGAAGAGGACAATAGAGACCATTTAGTTAGTCATTCATATCTATGTTTATTATAATTATTATATTTATTTTTATTATTAACATTATTTATGTATTATTATTATTAATTATTATTATTAATATGATTTATTTATTATTATTAATTATTATTATTCATATTATTATTCATATTATACAGACTCGGTTCTGGCTTCGGTCTCCTGTTGGACGTCGGCCTCGATGACATCACAGTAGTTCTGGATGACATCAGATTAGCTCTCGATGACATCACAGTAGTTCTCGATGACATCAAAGGGGGCGTGGCTCTGGGCAGAGACAGGAAGTTGTCTCCTGAGAAGGGGGAGGAGCTCTTCTTCTGCTGCTGATTGGACGGTTCAGGGGAGCTTCCTGTGTCTCTCTGAAAGGCATCCCCCTCCTCCTCTCTCAGCCTCACAGAACTCCAACTCCCAGCATGCCCGTCACCTCTCAGCTCAGCCAGGGAGTCTGGAGCCTCCACGGAGACGCTCTCTGACGAGGAGCCTGGTTATTACGGGATGTCATTTCCATGCTTTAATTCAAGCATTTAAAGGATTTATTATTTATAAAGATAGATTACCTGTGAGGTGGCCGTTCTTCTTCTGTGGTGGAGACAGCAGGCGGTCTGACGCTCTCTTAGGGCGCCACCTGCTGGATGAACACAACATCTCACTATTTTAACATCAACTATTATATTATTTTTAGCACATAAATGGATGGTTTTATATTTATTTAAAAGTCATTTAAATAAATATTAAAATAATATGAATTCATGACCCATTTAAGCGACGGTCTTTTATTCATTTTTAATATAATGTTGTACGAGTCTGAAGGCGTGTGTGATTTATGAGCTAATATTTAAAGGGGAGCTATCATGCTATATTTGAACAATATATTGTAGGGCCATACCTATATAAAGTATATAAATATAGTTTTTTTTTCAAAATACCAAACAGATCTGCATTTTAGCCATGCCTCATTTCGCTCTATTTGCTCTTTCCAGCGCTGTTTTTGCAGGGGTCTGATTCTGTGAGCTGCAGCTGAACACGCCCCCTGCAGCTGACCACGCCCCTTGTAGCTGACCACGCCCCCCTGCAGGAGAGGGGAGTTGGCAGTTCCTTTGGCATTAGGGCAGGGATATCTAGATACTCTCCAAGGTCTGACATCATGCATCGTGCTACTTTTAAAGCAAGGAGCGATGTTTTCAAATCTGTAATCAAAAAGCTCCTCAAAAACGCTATGGAAGCAGTTCCTGCCGTTGCTACGTTAGTTCAAACGGTAACAACGGACTATTTTTCTTAGCGGATGCATGTCAATTTAAATCAATAC